GGCCTCTCTCCACCTCCACCCCACTTACCAAAATTCCTCCACCAATCCCCCTGTATATTACAAATATCAATGAACTGTTCTTTGTGGCATCGCCTGAAGTACAGTGGAGCTTCTCTCCACTTCGAAGAGGTTATGTGACACACCAAAAGCTGCATAAACAGGATTAGAACCCCAAACTCCCCTGCAGTAACTGCTGTGCCCTGCTCTCTTCAATGTGGAGGACTCAAACTCCAATAAGGTCCCAATATGGGTGTTACATTTCCGTATTCATTTGAAATAAAGTCAGTCAATATCATTTTTCAGAGTCTGTATACGAGATGAAGGAATAAGGATGTGAAATTAACTACAATAGACATTTACAACACGAATCCAATAAACTGACCAGTCTGTGTGATTTATGACATTTTAATAATATAAACATGTAATCGTTATTGATCCTTAGGGCCTAAGTATGAGACTATTAATAACACGCATAATAAGATGTTATATATTGCACACAAACTCATACATTAATCTAAGCAACAAACAGCAAAGCTGAACATAAAACTGAGGCATGCTGATGGAACAGCGTTGATCATTTGTGTTGTTCAGCACTCTGTGATTACATCTAGCAAAACATATTTCACCTTACGTGCAGGAGTAGCACGGTTGTAAACTCTCATGACCCCTTTTTGCAAGGCCTGTGACACTTGGTGCTTTTCCTGTACCTCCAGCCCCCAGAATTATTTTATAACCTTAGGGGCATCTATACATGGGCTCTGGGGTTGGGGGTGGGGGGCGCATTAATAAGAGCTCTAATTAAAGTGCCAGCAGTGTCACTTGTATTCAGCATCCTGTGCTTCAAAATGACAGCAGAGGCACTTGAACTAAAGCTCGTTTGACACCCCTGCCACCATTTTGAAGCACAGCGACACTGAATAGATGTGATATGGAGGCTGCTGGTTAATTAACACACTCCAGCTGATTCGATTAATCGAGTCTGCTCCCACATGTGCTAATTAGCACGTCAGAGCAGATGTTCGGCACATATATAGGTGCTCTAAGATACTCAACTTGCATTAGAAAAGTTAATTTTTAGCTTTTGTAGTTGCAGGGTAAAACTTTAAATTATGAGTCCTGAAGTCTCAAAAATCAGAAGGCAAATAAAAACAAACACACAAAAACTTTTGTTTTTGTTTGTTAAATTCTCCTGATCTTTAAATAAATCTTGTGAAATGTGAACACATGTGGCTGGCAATGTTAAAGTATTCCCAACGATGTAACCTGGACCACTTATCTGCTGTGAGCATTTAAATGCTTCGTGGGACCAGGAACAGAAGACTCAACACCTCTCTTTTTTCCCAGTGACACTCTAAAAAGCTTCACCTCTTCCCCCCATGGCCTGATCTGTACAGAACAGTAGTTCTCGCTTCCCTACGTCCGTACTGGTACATGGCTTGTAGTTTGGAAACCTAGGTTTCTCAGAGGCCTAAGCCCCTCCATGCTGCCTATTTGGTGTATTATGAGATGATACATTTCCCTTCCTATCACTCACAATTCCTTCCTCACTGTGTGTCTCATTGAATGGACTACTGTCACAGGATAGGTTTTATGGCTAGGGACAGAAATTACACATAAACCAGTATAAGTGATTGGAAATCGGCTCAAATCTAATCCAACAGAAGTTCAATGCACATTAGCCACTTTCAAAAGGTCCAAAACTGGTTTAAGATAAACCTGGATGGATATAGTACCAGACTTAATTGCTTTAGGTTAAACTGGTTTATGGAACTTCTGAACCAGTTCCCTTCCAGATTCAAGTTAACTCAGTCCCCTAGCATCCCAGGATGCTTTGCACTTCCCCCGCAAATTCCCCCTTGCTGGGTGGGCAGGCTAGCCTTGGCCCAAGGTGTCTGCTCCAGCCAAGCAGGGAGGAGCACTCTAGTGGCCCCTACCCTGGGCTTTTGGCCTGGGTCACTGCAGGCATGTGGCTGCATTTCCTGAATCAAAAGTGAATATCTGTTCACTTGCTTACTGGTTCAATCTACACAGCTTAGACTAACCTGCAAAGATTGAATCAATTCAGCCTTGGGCCTTTGGAAGACAAAAACAAACCAGATGGTCTAGTGTTTCAACCTTGAGAGTATGCAACAGCTCCTGGGGATTGTTGGGAGACATCAGGCTGGGGTCAGGTCCTGAACATAGGCTTCTCAGTATCAAGAGGAATATCAGACAAAGGCCCTATGCCACAATTGTGCCTAATCCCAGAACCAGACTAGCCACAACAAGCCAAAAGGACATAGGATTAAAGTACGAGTCTTGTAGCAGGCTACATGCTTGAAGGGGCTGTTGCTCAGTATAGCAGGCTACATGCCACAGGGGCTGCAGCACACCTGCAGGCAGTGACCTGGTGATTGCATGCCAGCTAGGAGATGTGGCCCAGCTGCTGAGAATAATTGGGTCCCCAAAGGAAACTAAAAGCTTCCAGGGAACGGAGCTAGCAAGAAGAGAGGAGACTGAGAGAGAAAGCTCCCAGGCTGGTGGCTCCAATGTGGAGCCAGAGTACTGTCTTAGGGTCTGGAAAAGACCCCAGCAAAGCGAGGCAAGTAGGAAGATTTAGAGCCTGCAGCACAGAGCCAGAGTGCCCCTCCCCAGGTGTAGAGGAAAGGCAAATGGGTGAGAGAGCAAGCTGTGAAGCTAGAGGCAGCAGAGTGGGCCAGACAACCCTCTCAGGGTCTGGGAAAAGACCCTAGGTTTGTGAGTTAACCCTTTATTGACTGTGTATGAGCTTTCTTGCTGATCTGTATTTTATGCTGTTGTCTGTGAAGCAGGGGTGCCTGAACAATAAAGACCATGTGAGCTGAGCTAATGTGCTACAAGTCTGATCAGAATAGCCTGATGAATATCCCCCAGAAAATGTTTGCCCATGGAAGTAATAATCTTCTGAATAAGTGTCCTGGCTTTCTTTGAATCTTAAGGCACAAAAGGAGTCTATCCCCTTATGCAGGAAAGGGGCTAAAGGGATAAAAAGAAGCCTCCTTGGCTGAACAGGGAGCTCCAAGAAAGACCGGGGGCAAAGAAAGAGATTTATAGGCAGTGGAAGCAGGGGACAGCCACCAAGGAGGCATACACCACCCTGGCGCGATACTGCAGGGAGTCATTTGGGCAGGCCAAGGCAGGAGTGGAGCTTAGACTGGCTTCAACAATTAAGGACAATAAAAAGTCCTTCTACAGATACATAGCGAGCAAAAGGAAGGCGCAGAGTAATATAGG